AACGACTCTTGTTTTGAATATCGTTAAAAGTGTATCAAACCGCAGCGGTAGGTTTCTGGTTTCAAATGGCTCTGGGCTGGCACCCCGATACAGCCTCTCCTAGCATCCTCCCCAGATCCCTGATGAGATGAAGAAACTCTGAGCACAGTGATTTGGACATTTGGAGGTGGGGACCTTGGGCAGAGTGACTACACCAGCAGGAGGGACAGCTGTGCAGGTGGGAACAGAGGAGATGGCATTTCTTACACAGTTTATCACACTCCTATTGCATCTGGAGAAATCATCACACGCTAGTGTCTTAAAGCAACACAATTCATTCTCTTATAGTTCTGGAGGGACAAATCCTCAAACAGGCCTGGCCTGCAGGGCTGAGGCCCTTCTAGAGGCTGTCGAGGACAGTCCACTCTGCCGTGCCGGCCCCTGGAGGTCACTGGCATTCCCTGGCCTGGCTCCTTCCTCTCTTCCAAACGAACAGGGCATCTTCCCGTCTCCCTCCCCCACCCTCTCCCTCATCTGCCCATTTTCACCTTCCCTCTCTGGTGCTGACCCTCCTGCCTCCTTCTGTCAAGGACTCCCGTGGTTGTGTGGAGCCCACTCCGATGATCCAGGTCATCTCTCCATCTTGAGACCCTTAACTTAATCACGTGTACAAAGCCCCCCATTTTTCACAGGTTTGGGGATTAGGACATGAAGTGGGGGTTAGTCAGCCCCGCACACACAGGGTCACGCCTTATGTTCTGGGGAAACATCAGGATTCTGGGAGTGGAATCTCTGAAAGTGAACTCTGACCCCACATAATAAGCAAGGTACAGGGCAGGTGTCACGTGACCCCATCCCCAGCCTGCATGACCCTGTCAGGGACAGTCTTCACTGCAGGGAAGAGGGACGCTTAGAGACTTGTGACCTATCACTGAAGATCACCCTCCCAACCCATCCTGACCAGGGCTGAGTTTGAGGGACGGTTGGGGAAGCTCCTCTCAGACAGGAAACACGGTCGGTCCATAGGGAGCCTGGTGTGCACTGAACTGGGACCCCTCCATGCTCCTGTGTTGAAGCCCCAACCCCCAATGTGACTGTAGTTGGAGGGATCTGGTAATCTGTTTGGTGAGGTCACCAGGTTGGACCCCTGATTGGACAGCATTAGTGTCCCTATAGACACACCAGGGTGCTCCCTCTCCCCCCTCCAAGTGCACGGGAAGAGGCCATGGGAGCACATGGCCAGGAGGGGCATCTCCAGCCCTGCTCCCACCTTGACCTTGGACTTCTCCACTCCAGAGCGGAGAGAAAATGAACTTTGCTGTTTAGGCCATCTGGCAGCTGGAGCCGACCCAGACAGGCACCATGGAGACCCTGGGGGAAGTCGGGGGCCTCTGGTTCCCGTCAGCCTGGGTAACGCAGCAGCTGCCCTGTTCTGGGAGACCCGGGGGTTCTAGGAACAGCCTTGCCCGTCTCCCAGCCTCGGGGCAGAGCCAGCCTCGTCCCCCTCCAGGAAAAGAGCCAAACGTGCCTCTGTGCTGCGGGGCATTTGTGTGATGCTGGACGGGGTCTCGGCCCCTGGTCTCAGGCAGCTCCACAGGCCACAAGACACACGAAGGTCCCAGGTGCTTCCCCTGCTGCAGGTCTTTATCCTCCCCTTCCTGCCACCCGGTTTAGCTGGTTCATTTCCTCAAAGAAACAGGAGGGACCTGCCTGCTCTGCTGGCATCGATGTCCCCCAGGAGCTCAGGAAACTCTTTATAAATAAATAATAAAAATCACAGCAGCCACCTCCCGGCAGCCAGAGCCTCCTCGGCACCTCCACGGTGGGTCCCGTGAGCTCTGTTCTGCCCTCCTTCTTCCCCTTGGTCTGCTTTCTCCCCGCCCCAGAAGATTCTTCTCAAACGGAGCCAGCTGTGTTTTCCTCCTCCTCGGGTCCTTTAATGGCCCTGTTTTGTCCGCGGGGAGGGTCTCAGGCCAACCTCCTTTCCTCAGTGGCATTGGAAGCCCTCCATGCTGACTCCTTCCGCCTCTGGGTCTCATCTCCCATCTTGCTTCTGTCTCAGCCCTGGCCCCTGCTTGGCTGGAGCTCACAGCCTGTGTCTCTGGTCAGTGCCTTACCCATGCTGGGTGGGTTCCTGCCCCCTGGCCCCGATGGACCCATATCCCTTCCCAGAATTTTCTTGCCTTGGACCCAGCCCTGCCTGATCCCCGCCAAAGGGGCACCATTGCCATAGTACAAACAAAAACTCAAGCGGCTTCTAGATCCCAATTAGCAAACCCTCTGTCTCATCAAAGATGCACATAAAATCTACCCAGTGGTTTCCTGCTAAATAAAGCCCTCCCGGTGACCTCTCGCTGATCATTTCTACCTCTGATAACCACTTCTGATTTCAAATGCATAAATGAGTTTAATAAAGGGGCTTGAAGGATGGCTTCCTGCTGGGGCACAAGCACCTAGAGGTGACATTGTCCTGGGTACAAATAGCTATCTGGGGCCTGTGTTGCTGTTTTTTAAATCTGTGTTTATCAAAGCATTTCTGAATCGACCCTCCCCTCAAAGATGCTCTGTGCAGCTGGGTTGTAAAGGGGCTAAGCTCTTTGAGGACGTAATAAAATGTGAGCCCGTGTCCAGAGATCCAAGATAATCGGAGGGAGGGAAAGCTGGTTTCATCATGAACCTGTTCAGTGCTGTCTGTGAGACTGTGATCCCGGGGACCGACTCCCCATCAGACCCAGGGCTCTCTGCTCCAGGCCCACTATGCTTTTAGGAACCCACCAAGGTCATCAATTTCTTTTAAAATCAAAACAAAAAGATAAGCTTTTAGAGTCAAAGATAATTTATTTTTTTCACATGAGCAATAAATGAAAAACTTCAGGGGCTACGTCAGTTTCCTAGGGCTGCCATGACAAGAGACCTTGGGCTGGAGTGGCTTAAACGACAGAAGGGTACTTTCTCGTGGCTCTGGAGGCTGAATGGGGACACAGTCCTGGCGGGGTGGGTTTCACCGAGACCTCCTTGGCTTGTAGGTAGTGCCCGTGCCACCTGTTCTGTGATCATCTCTCTGAGCACACGCATTCCTGGGTCTCTTTCAGAGTCTAAATTGTCTCTTCTCAAAGGACGCCTGGCATCTTGAATGAGAGCCTCATTTCGGCTTAATCATTGCTTTAAAGTCCCCAACTCCAGATGCAGTCACCTTCTGAGGTTTGGGGCATGACGACATCATCTTTTTGAATCTGGGGGACCCAATTCAGGTCTGTGCAAATCTGTCATGGAGAGAAGGATCCAGGGAGACAGAAAGGCCCACAGAAGCCGGGGCGGGGCCCCGGGGCCAGCAGAGCCACTAGATTCCTGCGTGAGGAGAAGGAACAGGGAGGCCTCGCAGGAGCCCCGAGGCCTGAGCCGACCTGCAGCGGGGGGCCTTGGGAGCAGCACCACCCTCCTCCCTGGTTAGCTGCTCTGTGGGCAGAGGCTCGAGAACACGCAGAACCAACACAACGTGTCACAGCAGCTCCGTGAGCGGCCCCCGCTCCGTTGGCCAGGCCCTCTATAAAAAGGGCATTTTCATACACGGGACCCATTCAGTAAACATCGAATTCCTTCCTGCTGAAGTGCAGAGCTGCGCCACAGCCCGGGGAACTCACAGGAGGAAGCTCTGGGTGTCTTTCCAGGACCCTGTGACTGGCAGGAAAGCAGCAGTGAGCCCCGTGACTAAGAAGGCACAGGCCGGCTGCAGTGACTCAGGGCTGGAAGGGCGCAGCGGCTCATCTTTCGGCTCCATCAGCAGGAGGCTGTGTGTTCAGAGAGCTCGACAGACACTCATCACATCCAAGATCACCCGGCAGTGCGTGCCCACCAGGTCATCAAGGGTCACCAGAAGGCCAATATCGAAGGCAGAGACGGGGTCCTGCGGCCTGTGGGGCAAAGCCAGCCCAGGAGAGGGCCCTGCATCAGCCCGGGCAAATGGCTCACGTGTGTTCACTTTCCCAGGTGGATGTGTGCAAGGTTCCTCTCTGGGCTGTGCCAATGTTCTGGTGGACTGTGGGGGGTGGGGAAGGCACCCTAGGAGGGGAGTCCTTGAGAGATGCCAGGTGTCACCCTGTCATTTGGAATGCTGCCGTTTCTCTTTCCACCTGGCTTTCTTTTACTTCCCATCAGGGACTCCTGCTCCGTCTTGCTGACTGCTACATACAGGGAGCCGAGGACGGGCAGACCGCGCAGTGTCCCCCCACGAGTTCTGCCATGAGGAAACAAGGGTCAACTTTCTCCTCTGGCTGGGTCAGACACAGCGGTTCTGGCTGAACAAACCAGATGAGGCAGAGCCTTTCTCAAGAATTCCTGATGATTTCTTCCAGGCTTAGCTCTGTGGGAACAAGTGGTGTAGCGGGGCCCAGGGCTGAGCTGGCAATGACCCCTAGGAGTGAGCAGTTAAGGAGGGACCCATTAACTCCAGGGAATCATTAACCTGGGTCCCCAGAGCCAGCGGTGGAGCATTTCCAAAACACCCACCACAAACTGTGAATGTTGGTGGGCACTTTCAGATGATAAACTCAGACAGGGAGATCAAAGGTGCGGAAGTCCTCCCCCTGGGGCTGGCCCTCAGGCCTGTGAGGTTAGACTTTTCCTCTTTAAAACCGCTGTCCCCAGTGCTTCTGCCTGGGTACAAGGGGAGCCTAATTACAGCGGCCAGTCTGAGCGCACAGCCTGCCCTCCCAGCCAAGTCTGGACAATTAGGTGTGACGGATATTTGCTCAGAATGGGCCTAGTTCTTCTCCCCCCAGAAGCTGAGTTTCACTCGACTCCCAGGTTAATCATCAAAACCAGCTCCTTTCCCTTAATTTAGCACTCTAATCCAAGTCTGGGGCCATACCTAGAGAGCTGGAAATAATAAGGGGAAGCCCCTCAGCTCCCCCGACTCTAAATTCAAGTTCTTCTTCCTTGAAACCCCTGAGATGGTGCTCCTCACTCCTGTGTCTGTTCCCCCTGTTCCCAGGCCTTCCCTCTTCCCTCCCGCTGGGTTTCAGAGTTGCCCCTTCCAGAGGGTCCCGGCCATAAGGATCCCACCCCACGGAGGCCCATCCCACCCAGCTTCTCTCCAGGCAAGATCACAGAGCGAGCTGAGAAGGTGCTTCCTCTTGCCCCCATTTCTGTGGTTCCTGCCCAGTCGGTGACCGGGGGAGGACAAGATGTGAGAGGGTGTGAGGTGACCGGACGCCTGGTCCCGGCTTTCTTGCACCTGCTGGATTTCTCCTCTCCTTGGCACAAGCACTAACGTCAGTTTCAAACCTTCCCAAACTTCCCCGTGCATCCATCTCACCCACGTCTCCCCACAGCCTGGGGGCGGTCCCCTCTCTGCTCCCCAAGCCCTGTGACTTTTCTGGAGCCCCACATGGCCTCCTGGGAGGTGAAGACAACAGAAAAGAAAGGGACAGAAGAGCCTGCTCCCGTGGAGCTGGAATCCCAACGTGCTGCGGAGTCCAGGGGGTGTCCCGTGTTCCCAGGTCTGCCTTCTGTGTTGCAGGAGTGGAGAGGAACTGCAGATGGATCAGAGGACCAAGGACCGGCAGACCTCGCTGGCACCTCGAGGCCGAATTCCAGAGCACCCAGGTGGCAGCCCTTGGCCAGCCGCCGTGTGGCAGGACGCTCTGGTCGCGGCTTCACCGGGGCTGGACAGGTGCCTGTCTCGGTGTTTCAGGGGAGCCTAGTCGTCCCTGCAAGGGGGCCTCCTGGTGGCTCGCATGGGGCCTCCTGGTGGCTCATTCACAGCAGAATCTCTTCACTGCCCCAGCTTCCCCAAGGCAGTGAGTTTTTGATGGTCAGACCAAAGTCCCCTCCTGTCAGAGCGCAGGCCGAAGGGACTGTGGGTCACAGGGTGAGGCAGATGAGCTCGTCCTGGCCCAGCATGGGGTGCAGGGACAGCTGAACAAGACCGGCAGGGGGAACCTCAGGGAGGAGGAAAATTCAAGCCTAGGAAAGGCCAAACATTCCTCTTCGCATTCAAAGCGGGGAAGGGCAGATCACCCCGCAGCCCCCTGCAGACATGCATGACCGGGAGGGTGGGCTTGGACAGCAGAGCTCACCTCATGTAAGCAGGACACCACTCCTGGGTGGGCGGGAGACCAGGACCCAGGACGGCTGAGGAAGCGCTGCCCAGGGGATGGGAAGTGGCAGCCGGATCATCGCAGTGGCTTTTCAAGGAGCTCAGCCTCATGGGTCAGGCTAGGTTTCAAGTCCAGCCAGCGCTGGGTGGCACCGTCAATCACTCACCGGAGCCCCATGAGGCCTTGGGCCGGGTGTGGACATCTCCTTCATCCGCACAACAATGGACACAGCTCGAGCAGGTGCCCTGGACCTCTGCCCCTCCGCGCTGGGGCTTTGCTGGCTGCTGAAGGGCACAGGACTTGAGAGCCCTATGTTTGCATAGAAAAGCCTCCTTTTGGCTTTTCCACACTTTAGGCCACAGAAGAATGAGTGCACAGGGCTGCATACGAATAAATAAACAGAAAACAACCCCCAAAGACCAGCTACTGAGCTCACCCCGACCTCAGGTGCCATGAGGGATATGGAGGTGACCTGGACTCAACCCGTTTCCACTGGGGGGTCTGGCTCTGCCTGAGCTGCTGCCTGGGCATGGGGTGATGGTGCCCTGCATGGCACAAGGAGAGGTAGCTTCCTCCCTTGATGGTGAAGGGGCCAGCCTTCCCTGAGCTGAGGTCCACTGCCTCCTTCTGACTGTCCTCCTGAAGAGCATCAGCAAAACAAGGCCAGTTCTTCCTGCTATTTGTGCCCCCCCAGGGTCTCTTGCAGTCTTGGGACCTGTCTTTAGCTTGGGAGATTAAGACATTTGCTCTGAGATGGATGAGGCCTTGGGAGATGGACTTACTTCAAAGAGTTTGATTTACAACCTGGGTTCAAATTTGGTTCATTCACTGTTGGGGCGTCAATTGGCCAGAATAAGCTTGGCTGCGCTGCCACCATAGCCCCACGACTCAGGGGTTGACTGATGCAAAGCTCATTGCTGTCCTGGGTGGAGCTTGGGGATGCCTGCTGCAGTGGGTTGGGATGATTGATGGGCAGGGAGCGAGACCAGCTGGGGCGGTGGGGGCTCGCTGCTGTTATTCAAATGCCCTGCCAGTCCCCATCTTCCTTCACATCTCCTTGGCCAAAGCAAGCCCCCAGCTTCCTCTAACCTCCAGGAAGCATGAAGGACCCTTCCCTGCAGTGCCCAGAAGGAAAAGAACTGGAAAATCAGAAGGGAACACTGATGTCCACAGAGCGGTCAAACTTTCTAATGACGAGGACCCCTGGTTGTGTCCCCTGTAGATGGGCAACAGAGCATTCTGCAGGAGATGGAGTTGCCAGGTGGGGGCCAGAGGCCACCCACTGCCCACAGGAACCAGATATGCACTTTGAAAAAAAAAATTAGTCACACTTACTAAACTTAATAGTTTATGTTTACCGAGTTACTTTATAGGCTCTGTTATAAAAGGCACAGTTTGTGTCGTTTTTATTTCATTGGCGTTGGGATTGAAACCAGGGAGGGCCTCCTGCGTGCTAAGTGCGAGCAGTACCCCCAGCTAACCCCAGTCCCAGATGTTCAGCGTGGATGATGAATGAGTCGGATGGGACTTCTCGCTCCTCTGTTGATTCAGTGCGAAGACCGACTGCTCGCGGCCATCAGAAACAGGGCTTCCAGGGACGTTTCGTTTTGAGCCCCTCACCCGAAGCACGTTATTGTGTGTTATTTGATAATAAATTGATTTATCACTTTATCTTTGCATCATATGCACAGCTATGAGTGTGTGTGTGTGTGTGTGGAGAGAGTGTATGTGTATGTGTGTATGTATGTGGGTAAATGTGTATATATCTACACCCAGATTTATTTTTACATCTATATATCATCAGCAAAGAGCGATTCCTCCATGGTCAATGTCAGTGAGGCTTTTTTTTTTTTTAAATGAGATTTGGAAGCCCTTGGGATTCCTTGATGACGATTGGCAGAGTACCAGTATTGCCAGCAAAGCACCTCTTACCTTACCCCCAAACTATGAAAGGGACCTAACAGCGGCTATCCGCGAGCTGGGGACGGTTCCAAGTCTTTGAAGAGCTCATTTTCCTGGTAGATAAGTAGTGGCTGTATCATCTCAGGTTTTCTGTGTTTTGGACCCTCCTCCCTCTAACGGCAAGATAAAATAGTTCTGATTTATCTTTCTGGCCTAATATTAAATATTTCAACAGATGCTCCAGAGACTCCCTTTGCTGGTAATTTCAAGGGGAATAAAGAGAACCTCCTCTCCCCTTTCAGTTAGTTAAACTGCCATACATTTTTCTTAATTGTGCTTAATGAATATTGTTCCCTGCCTGATTGTGCCACACTCGCTTAGTCATCCCTGCTTTGATATTTAAACGTTTTAGAGCTTTCTGATGTTTGCAGACTCTCCTTGATGCCTTCCTTCTGCCAAACAGAAGACAAGTAAGGGTGAGCGTAAGACACACACGCTCACTGGATAATGGAGGCCGTTCCAAAGCCCGCCTTTCCTTGAGCAGGTTTGCTCAGAGGTGAGTGAGCGGATGCTCGTCCCCATGGTCTTCACTGGGAATCCTGGGGCTGACTGACGTGGAAACCCTGAGAGCTGATTGGGGCCTTCACCCTGGAACTTAGGTTTTCAAACTCGATAGATTTCCTTGGGAAATTGCCGTCCCTGTTGCTTCCCTGGGGTGCCATGGGCAAGGTACTGAGCTGCTGCCTGACTGCCAGCTGCACTCTGGCTCCCCTCCAGGGCTGGCTGACCATGCTGACTTTTCACAGTGTCAGCTCAGCACCTGGGTCTCAAAATACAGCAGCTGTCCATCACAGGCGAATCTTTCTGTGGCTTTGCTGCGCGAACTGGCAGTGTCACCGAAGACTCCCGAAGCTATCTGGCTGTCATAGCTGCCGCCTTCAGCACCTTTTGTGGGGCCCTTGAGTTTCCATGATGCACATGCACATCCAGCATTGACCCGTCCATCTGCCAGTCTCACCTGCCTCTGAGAGTGGCTCAGAGAAAGCTTCGATAAGTCACCTCTCAGAGTGGCCACCTCAACACCATCGCCCACAGCTCCTTGGAGAGCAAAGGCTGTGTTGTGACAACGTTGAGCTCCACAGGAGGGTCCTATACATGGTAAGTACTCAGCCAGTGCTGATGGGAGAACCATCTGAAACTGCCAATATGCACCTTTCCTGCAGCCCACAAAATGACAGTTCATATGGTTCAACTTAAACCTTCAGCACAGTGATTTTCAACTTCAGAAATTATATTTCATGTTATTTTTATCTCTCAAGTTTTTTCTTAACAATCACAATATAAAATGGTTCCTTGGAGATTTGGGACTTAGTTTCTGTTCCGTCATGGTCTTTTTATTCTTTTCCTGAATCATCTCTGCTTTGTGTAACTTTAAGGCATGAGAAAGAAGGTACTGCGAGTATTTTAACCTCGTGTATTTTAATGAACTATGCCCCGACTTTTCAGGTAACACTTGATGTCTTTCTCCATCTAAATCTAAAGAAGCTCAAAGACTCACTTAGACATTTTATTTTTTTAAATCAGATTTTCAGTTTAAAGTAACACAGTGCCTCTTTGAACTAATCCCTATCAAAGCCTTGAAAAGAGCAGGGGACTGAAATCTGTATGTGACATGCTGGTGACCAGCAGACATCGTGATGCCATGATCTGGGAGGCAGTGACATCCAGGGCAGCAGGACACAGAGCTGGGTGGAGTCCAGCAAGTAAACAAATACTATCCAGTGGTGCCGCTGACCTGATTTTGCCTGAACAAAATCGGGGTGCCCTTTTTTCTCCTCCTTTCTCTACCCTCTTTTGGAATTATTGTCCCCTGAAGGTAGGGGGCTGGGGCCTGAGCCAGCTGCAGTCATCTGGTCCACTACTCCCCTTGGGAGGCTGCGTCCCTGTCCACCCACTCTCTTCTCCACCTGTAGGCAGCCCAGGAGAAGGGCAGAGACCCGGGCAGGCGGCGGGAGGAAGAGGCAGTGCAATAGGGAGCTCCCGTCCTTGGGAGGGCCCAATAAGGACTGTGACCGCCAGTGTCCGGGGGAGTGCCAGTGACGTGCCAGGCGTTACACTGAGGGCTTAGCATGGACGACTAAGGGGAACGCTACTGAATCTCTGCTTCCCAGCTGTGGAGACTCTGGATTATTTGGGTTTACTCTTGGGAATTCTCTGGATTTTTCCCTCAATTCTAAACTGTTCCTGTGCATCCTTCCGGATGAATCTAAAGTCCTTAAAAAAATACAGTTCAATGGTGGATCCATCTCAGCAGCTGTGCTGCTCTCCAGAAGGGCTCTTTTCATCTGGAGTGGTTCAGGAACAGAGCGCCCAGGAGAAAACACACCCCAGGACATTGAAAACTGCTCCAAGGGAGAGTGACATTGATCATTGTCAAGGATGGAGATATAATTAGATGTTGTATAATTTATTATAGATTAAGATACATTGTCATTTGCGTATTAAGATTTTTTTTTTTTTCAGCCAGGTGAGATGATTCACATCTGTAGTCCCAGCCACTCCGTAGGCTTAAGGCCAGCCTGGGCAGCTTATTTTTATCTCAAAATAAAATGAAAAGGGTTGGGGTGTAGCTCAGTGGGAGAGTGTCCCTGGGTTCAATTCCCAGTACCAAAATAAATAGATGAATTTTTTGTTTTAAAAAC